TTTCTTTCACGATATATACCATGTTATATACAATATCAAATAAAGAAATGATGCTTACCTATGAGGGGAAACCCCCCAAAAATGATTAAAATGTCATAAATCTGTATCATAAGTTACAGGTTCAATTTCATTAGGAGCTAATATAAATTCTTGAAAAACATTGTAAGAACTTATAGACCATCAGCATAACTGTATAATAACTAATGCTTCTAATTATAGAAATACTGGTCTAAAAAAATTATGATATAATCATTATCTAAAATAGACTAGAATTATCTCTGACATGATTATGTTATCTGAAGAGATAATAAAAAGTGTAGATTTCAAACCAGTAGAGTGCCACTGAAGAATTCCTAATAGTTGTATTGAATGATACTAATTAAGCACTTGGCTATGCCATGTTTTATAAACTTTACTATCAGAAGGCCTTGGTAAGAAATAAAAACTGTGAACCACTTCAAAGAACTGAAAACCAGGATTCAGGATACTGTAATCAATAGCCTAATAACCAAAATACTCTTAATAAAATTGATTTGAAAAAAATTAAGATGGATTTGTATATCTTTTCAAATAAATAATAATTATATATAGCATTAAATTAATAATATATAACTAGTCATATATAAATAAGTTAACTATAAACAGATATGTATAACACTTGTTGAATATATGTATGTGGCAAAAAAGCTACCTTTGTAGAGATCAGATTTGAAAAAATCATAGTATTTGTAAGTAGTACTATAGTGATCTCATGTACTAAAAGCATATATTTAATAAAAGAAGTGAACAAACAAAAAATCACTAAAAGAAAACAAAATATATATTCCAGGAATAAACTTATTATTCATATACAGTATGTCACAAATTATTGGCTCAATTGGAACATAATATACTCATATAAAACAAATTTTTTAGAAACAGGTAAAGCCTTGACAATAAACTGCATAGAAGAACTAGTTTCTTATTAAGTTTATTTAGATAAACAAAGAGATAAATTTGTATAAAACAAATTTGTATATATTCATTCTATAAATTTAATAAACAAGATGTAAGCTATTTATTCAAAAAAAAACTTTAATATAATAATTAGTTATAATTTAAAAAAAGATTAGTTAATTTAATAATATTGATTATAGATTAAAAAAGTAGTTAAATAAATGTTTGGTTTAATTTTAATCAATTGAAAATCAAATATTTATTGTTTTAAAAACACATTACAATAATGATGTTTATTTAATTACTTTTCAAACCATACAAGTATTAGCATGATATTTCTTTTTTAATTAATTCTTTTACAAATTGATTAGCTTTATATTTGCTTTATCAAATTATAGTATTATAACTAATGTTGATAATGTATTATGCTGTCTTTATATATCTTAATTTTCAATCAAAAAGTATTATAATATTCCAATATTTAATTCTCATTTTTTATTATTTCATTATTGATTAAAAAATTTTTTTTTATTTTATTATATTTCTGTTAAATAGTTTTATCAACTTATTGGAATAAGTGTGTAATAGAATTTATGTTATTTAGTTGCAGTTTTTTTGTTTATTGTAATTTGGTTATTTTTTTTATCACTATTTGCTTTATTGCTTATCTACCTTATTTACTATTTTGTTTGTCTCCTTCATATTTTTATTAAAAAACTTGAATGATTTATTTTTTAGAGGAAAATATTCATTATCCAGTTGTAATATCTTCTTATTTATTTTTTTTAGCATATTGATATTTTGTTTTTTTTATTTTTGTTAATTAATAATTCATATTGTTATATATTGTCCAGAATAGAAATTTATTTTAAGATTTTATTAGTATGTTTATAGAATATATTTTATCAGAAAGAATTAATATTGTTTTTTATTTATATTTCACAATTTACCACCAAATATTATAAGAATTCAATAAGTCTGTTTTCAATATATAGGTTCTTATATAATATCAGTTGAATTGGCAATATAAAGGATTTAACTTCTAAAGCATATATAAATTCAATCAGTTCTTCTGTTACTTGCCAACTTTATATATTTTGACTTTTTTCTTGAACCTTGCTTAGTCACTAGAACTTTTAATTCTTCTAGTCAAACTTTAGTTTGTCAAAGTCCTGTGTACAAGTTGCAAGCATATATACAGTTAACAAACAATACAATAACACAGGTAAGGGTTTATAATAAATACTTTATTTAATAAACTATAAATGCTAATACTATACAATTTTTAATACTAAATACTAGTGAATGGTATATAGATTTATATATATGCCAGTTGTTTATATGTTTATATTCTATCATATTCTACTTTTTTCTAGAATTTTAATTTTACAATATTTTTATATCTGTTACTTTATTATTATGATAATAATACTAACTTAATTTATTATGATTTAAATTGACTTTATTTTGGCTTAATGATTTTTAAGAGCCAGAACAAAGCTGTTTATTGTTGTGACTTAAATAAGCTATTCGAATAGAACTGAGTCATTTATTTATTACCAATTCTGCAAGATTTTAGAAGATGGATAATGTTTATGAATATTATTTTCAATTATAAATCAAAAATTTTCTATGAGATTCAAATCTGGACTTTTAGAAGGCCAAGAGATAACTTCAACATTTTCTTTAACAAATTCAGCTTTTGCTACCTTTGCAATATGTACAGAAGTATTATCTTGTTGGAATACACCATCTTTACATGGAAAAATTAATTTGAAAGATGGAATTGCATGTTTTCTAAATAATTTTGCATAAGTTTTACCACTTATTTTACCATAATGTGGTGTAAGTAAACCATATCATATCCATGAGAATTTAGCCCAAACCATTCTAGTTTTGCTTTTGGAAGTTGTTCTTGCAAGACAATCTTTCTTCAGTTGTGTGCCAAACACAAATATTTGCACTAGTATAAAGTTGAACAAAAGATTTTTTATGAGAAGATAGGATTCGTTATCAACAAGGAGATGTTGATTACGAAGCAGGCGACGATGATAGCGTTCCTTGTTATCAGTCCAATAGACAGATTTCCATTTTTCAAGAGGCTAATTTTTGCATTCCAAACAACATGCAAGATGATTTTTACATTATTTTCCAAAAGTAAGGGCTTGTGACAAGCGATACAAGAATGTAATCCAAGTTGATGAAGAGCATTAACAAGTGTTTTCACATGTACAACTTGGCCTTCTTTGATTTCCCATTTTTTTGAAGTTGTGTACATGTGAGACAATGATTAATTTTTGTAAATGATCACGACCGGATTTATTAAATGATAATAGGCGACCTGGTTTTTTTTTTTCTTTGGTAAGAAACCTTGATACCGTGCTATGACAATTGACATCTTTAGCAATAACTTAAACGATGACCTTTAATAATTTCATCTTGTTAAAAAATTTAACTACGCCAATCTTTAAATATGCACAGTATACGTACAGTATGACAAAAAAATTTACACAATTTTTACAATATGTTCTGCACACTTGATGCATCAGTCAAGACTGAAAGAATTTTGTCACTCCCCATTATGTATGTATAGCGTCTATCAAGGATTAAAAAAAAGCGTTGCATATTTTTGTTCCCCGTACATTAAATTACAGTAATTGAGATCAACTACTGTACAACGTTTCATTCCTTTTCTTTTTGGATACTGCAGGCATATAGTATGCATCTCGGTACAATACTACAGGTGGGGAAGGGCTTAGACAACCTCCGGTTAACATTTTTTAATATCCCTTTCTTATTCTCAGATATGAAGCCAGAAAGTGTATGTAACATAAATTATGCAATTAATTTGTAGTTAGCTAGTATATTAATACAAAACATTTTTTTATAAGTTTCGTCATGATAAAATTATTTCTAAAAGGTACTCGGGTCACGGGAAGTGTGCACAGTGTAAGCGTTATAATACTGCAAAAGTATGGTGTCAGTCGTGTGATCCATTTAAAACTATTAAAGGATGGACTAGTGGAAATAATGATATTGATGATTTCATTAAAGAATTTCAGTTTAAAGCTACTAAATATGAAGACGTAATTGAGTGGATTCCATTTAATAAGTTATCTGAATTTCGAAGCATTAGCGAAAAAGAATTTCGGGCGCATTGGTTAGATGGAATAAGAAAGATTAAAAGAAATAAACAATCACGTACATTATCATGTTCAGTCGAACTTAAAAAATTTGATGATTTACAAGTTGGTGCATTAGAATTTATAAGAAATGTAAGTTACAGTATATGTTATTTCGTGATTTATTAAGTAGCACAACACACTTATTTTATAATTTATTTTACAAGTTTAAAAATTATATCCAATCAGAGGATAGTGAAAATAAAATATATGGAATAACTCAACATACAACTGGAGAATATATGATTGTATTTGATAAATTCTCTTCTATAAGGGATAATATAAATGGAAAGTGTGTACGATGCAAGAGATATAATACTTCAGAAGCATGGTGCCAGTCGTGTGATCCTTTTAAAACTACTCAAGGATGGACTAGTGAAAATAATGATATTGATGATTGCATTAAAGAATTTCAGTTTAAAACTACTAAATATGAAGACGTAATTGAGTGGATTCCGTTCGATAGGTTATCTGAATTTCAAAACATTAACAAAAAAGAATTTCGGGCGCATTGGTTAGATGGAATAAGAAAGGTTAAAATAAATACACAATCACGTACATTGTCATATTCAGTCGAACTTAAGAAATTTGATGATTTACAAGTTGAGGCATTAGAATTTATAAGAAATGTAAGTGACAGCATATATTATTTCGTGGTTTATTTAGTAGCACAACACTCTTATTTTATAATTTATTTTACAAGTTTAAAGATTCTATCCAATCAAAGGATAGTAAACAAAAAGTATTCGGAATAACTCAAGATACAACTGGAGAATATATGATTGTATTTGATGATTTTTATTTTATGAGATATGAGATATTTGGAGAATGTGCACAATGCAAGAGATATAATACTTCAGAAGCATGGTGTCTTTCATGTGATCCTTTTAAAGTTACTCAAGGATGGACTAGCGAAAATAATGATATTGATGATTACATTAAAGAATGTCAGCTTAAAGCTATTAAATATGAGGACGCAATTGAATGGATTCCATTCAATAGGTTATCTGAATTTCGAAAAATTGGTAAAATAGAATTTCGGGCTCAATGGTTAGATGGAATACGAAAGGTCACAAATAATACTCAATCTCGTACATCATCATGTTCAGTCGAACTTAAGAAATTAGATGGTTTACAAGTTGATGCATTGGAATTTATAAGAAATGTAAGTTATATATTATTTCGTATTTTGTTTAGTAAAACAACACATTTATTTTTATAATTTATTTTAAAAGTTAAGAAATTATATTCAATCAGAGAATAAAGTATACGGAGTGACCCAAGATACAACTGGTCAATATATGGTTGTATTTGATTCTTTTTATTTTAGAAGGAGTCGTGCACATGGAAAATGTGCACAATGCGAAAGATATAATACTTCAAAAGCCTGGTGTCAGTCGTGTAATCCTTTTAAAACTATTCAAGGATGGACTAGTGGAAATAATGATCTTGATAATTGCATTAAAGAATTTCAGCTTAAAGCTACTGATTATGAAAATGTAATTGAGTGGGTTCCATTCAATAGGCTATCTGAATTTCGAAACATTAGCAAAACAAAATTTCAGGCTTTATGGTTAGATGGAATACGAAAGGTCAAAAATAATACACAATCACGCACATTATCATGTTCAGTCGAACTTAAGAAATTAGATGGTTTACAAGTTGATGCATTAGAATTTATAAGAAATGTAAGTTATATATATTTTGTGGTTTATTCAGTGGTACAACACACTTATTTTATAATTTATTTTACTAGTTTAAAAATTATATCCAATCAGAGGATAAAGTATACGGAATAACTCAAGATACAACTGGCCAATATATGATTGTATTTGATGCTTTTTATTCCAGAAGGAGTCGTGCACAATGCGAGATTAGTGCGCATGGAGAATGTGCACAATACGAGGGTCGTGCACATGGAGAATGCGCACAATGCGAGAGTCGTGCATATGGAGAATGTGCACAATGCGAGAGATATAATACTTCAAAAGCCTGGTGTCAGTCGTGTGATCCTTTTAAAACTACTCAAGGATGGACTAGTGAAAATAATAATATCGATAATTTCATAAAAGAACTTCAGCTTAAAGCTACTGATCATGAAAATATAATTGAGTGGATTCCATTCAATAGGCTATCTGAATTTAGAAACATTGGAGAAACAGGATTTAAGGTATTATGGTTAGATGGAATACGAAAGATAAAAAATAATACACAATCACGTACATTATCTTGTTCAGTCGAACTTAAGAAATTTGACGGTTTACAAGTTGATGCATTAGAATTTATAAGAAATGTAAGTTATATATTATTTCGTGGTTTATTTAGTAGCACAACACACTTATTTTTATAATTTATTTTACAAGTTTAAAAATCGTATCCTATCAGAGGACAGCAAACATAAAATATACGGAATAACCAGGGATACAACTGGTCAATATATGATTGTGTGTGATGATTTTTATTCTATAAGGTATAATATATATGGAGAATGTGCACAATGCGAGAGATATAATACTTCAGAAGCATGGTGTCAGTCGTGTGACACTTTTAAAACTACTCAAGGATGGACTAGTGGAAATAATGATATTGATAATTGTATTAAAGAATTTCAGCTTAAAACTATTAAATATGAAAACGTAATTGAATGGATTCCATTTAATAGATTATCTAACTTGCAAAAAGTTGATGAATCAAGATTTCAGGCATTATGGTTAGATGGAATACGAAAGGTTAAAAATAATACACAATCACGTACATTATGTTCAGTCGAACTTAAAAAATTTGATGGCTTACAAGTTGATGCATTAGAATTTATAAGAAATGTAAGTTACATATTACTTTGTGGTTTATTTAGTAGACAACATACTAATTTTTATAATTTATTTTACAAGTTTAAAAATTATATCCAATCAAAGGATAGTAAACGTGAAGTATATGGAATAACACAAGATACAACGACCAGTCAATACATGATTGTACATGATTATCCGGATTATATAGTGAATCGGGAATATGAAAATTGTGCACGGTGCGGGAGTTATAATACTTCATTAATCTGGTGTCAATTGTGTGATCCTTTTAAAGTCACTCAAGGATGGACTAGTGGAAATAATGAAATCGATGATTGCATTAAAGAATTTCAACTAAAAGCTACTGAATATGAGAATATAATTGAGTGGATTCCATTTGATAAGTTGTCTAACTTGCAAAAAATTGGAGAATCAAAATTTCAGGCATTATGGTCAGATGGAATACGAAATGTTAAAGACAATAAGCAGTCGCGTATATTCCCATATGTAGTCGAACTTCGGACATTTGGAAGATCTCAACTTAATACAACAGAATTTATAGAAAAAGTTAGGTACATACGTTTTTGCTGTTAACTTAATAACATGACGCATTAACGTTATTATATTTATTTTATTAGTTTAAAAATCATATGCAATTAAAGGATAATAAACATAAAATGCATGGGATAACTCAAGATAAGACAACTGGTCAATACATGATTGCATTTGATGATTTTCATTATATAAGAAATAAGTTATATGGCAAATGTGCTCAATGCAATCGTTATAACACTTCATTTTTCTGGTGTCAATCATGTGATCCTTTTAAAATAACTAAAGGATGGACCAGTGGAAATAGTGATATCGATGATTGCATTAAAGAATTTCAACTTAATGCTACTAGACATGAAGATGTTATTGAGTGGATTCCTTTTAATAGATTAATTAATTTACGCAAGATTGGAGAGACAAGATTGATTGCAATATGGCTAGATGGAATACGAAAGGTCGAAAATAATGCACAATCACGTTCGTCTTCACACATAGTAGAACTTAAGTCATCAGACAATCCTCAAATAAACGCATTAGATTTTATAGGAAAAGTAAGCTATTTAACATTATTATTGATTACTGAATACGAATAACACATCTATCTATTTACAGTTTAAGAACCAGAACAAAGAACATAAAGTATATGGGGTAACTCAAGATACCTCAACACAATATATGGTTGTAGTTAATTTTAATTCTGTAGGAAATAAGAAGTTCGGTACATGCAGATGGGGTGAACATTATAATACTTCAAGAGCATGGTGTCAATTATGTGATCCTTTTAGAATAACTCAAGGATGGACAAGCGAAAATATCAATATTGACAATTGTATTAAAGAGTTTCAATCTATAGCCACCGAGTACGATGAAGTGATAGAATGGATTCCTTTTAGTAGATTGAGTAATATACAAGAGATCGGAAAAGGGGGATTTGGATGCGTTTATTCCGCAATCTGGTTAGATGGAAAACGAAAAATCATAAACAACGGCAAGGAATTTATACAGTCACGTACACAACCTTATACCGTCGCACTTAAAACCTTGCCCTGTTCTCCAACGAGTACTGCTGAATTTTTAAGAGAAGTAAGTTTTTAATATTGGCTTTATGATATTTTATATTAACTAATAACGCAATAATAAAATTTCTTTATAAGTTTAAAAATCATATGCAATGTAGGTTAATGGGTAGTAGCCTAGAAGTATATGGGTTAACCAAAAATACGACTACAAATGAATGTATGATGGTTCTTCAATATGCCAATAATGGTAATCTTCGTTGTTATTTAAAATCGAGTTTTAAAGAACTTATTTGGAAAGATAAATTGTCGCGACTGATTGATATATCAAAGGATTTAATTCAAATTCATGAAGCTGGATACATTCATTGTGATTTACATAGTGGAAATATTGTATTACATAAAGAGGGATTGTGGCTTGAAAGAGCGAAATCCTATATTATAGATCTTGGATTATCTCGAAAAAAAAAAGGATCCGAAAATAAGAAAGGATTTTGTGGAGTAATGCCCTATATTGCACCTGAAGTTTTATTGGGCGAAAGTTACACGCAAGCATCAGATGTATATAGTTTTGGGATTATTATGGCAGAAATAACTATTGGAATGCCACCGTTTGATGATTATATATTTAAAGGTGATCTTGCATTAGAAATTTTAGACGGATTACGACCAAATTTTGCTCCAGGAACTCCTGATTTCTATGTTGATTTTGCAAAACTATGCATGAATTCTGATCCACAAGAACGGCCTACGGCTAAAGTTATTTTTCAAAAGCTTGAAAAATGGTATGGTTTTATAGAAGAGCTTGATGAAATTGAAATTGACGAAGATAACATAAATGTGGTAGAGCTCGACGAACTTGATGAACCAGAAAAAATAGAAATAAGCAATAAATTTTGGGAATCCGATGAAATAGCCAAACAGTTACCCGTAACTATGCAGAAACATCAAGATGACGCATATACAAGCCAATTTATCGATACTGATGATATTTCTCAACGATACAAATTACGTAAAAACAATAATATCTCTCAGCGGCATTATGAATCAGTTAATATTAGCACAGGTAATATTTATCATATTAAATATTTATTAAATTAACCGATATATTAATTAAATTTATCTTTCATAATAGATTCTACAGCAAATAAGTTTAGGATAGCGTCGTAATTGGAAAAAAAAAACCTGATATTACCGATTTGATATACGTAGCTAGTTGGCTCTAAAGGTTTTTTTTGTTCTTATTTTACACATTTATTTTATTTATATTGCAATGTCTATGAATAGCTTGTCATTTCTGTAGTGATTTTAAAATTTAGAAATAAGGTTACTGTATATTACAATTGAGTCAAATTATTTAATCGAGTCCACGTTTTATTACACAATGTAATAGGTAGTAGTTGTAATTGTTTAATTTAAAATGGAACCATATTTTTATTGCATGATTAAATTTATTCGTTTATGGATATTTTTATATAAAATACGTATATAAAGAATATTTTATTTATTAATTAATAATAGCAAATTTCTACAAAACATTGTATCTAATTAAAATTTCACTATTCCATTCTATTTTTATTTTCAACAGAACCTCTCGTTGCCTTACAAAAGAAAGGCAAATTACTATGACCAGGTTTTAATTGTCCAATTACAACGCATTGATTATTAAAAATGATGTAATAATTTTTAATTACTTAATATATAATTATTATAGGAAATTAGAATAAATTATTTAATAAATTTTTATAAAATCCCAAATGTGAATTTGGCATTTCTATACTCCTATACTGTAATATGAAAATCTTTATTGCATTCACTTGACAATATTGTAATTCATATTTATCATTAGGTTCTATAATAATATTATTTAATAATATCAAGTTTAAATAAGTCCTGTGTTTTTAATTTTATTTTGTGATCTTTTTTGGTAATTTTTTATATATTGATTATATATACATTTTTATAATATAAAAAGATTGCTAATATCAATAATAAACAATAACAATAAAATATAAAGTTAAAAAAAGCTTTTATAATTTTTGTATTATATGCAGAATAGTTTGTTTTAAAAAAATATATTGGCATTTTAATATAATATAAACTAAAACATGACACAGTAACAAACTTGTTAATTACTCTATAACAATATATATATATTTCTTGGAGAATTAATACTTAATAATTAGAAAAGTCTTATATACTATTATTGCTACTTAGACCTATTTTGCTGCAAACCTTTATTTTTAAGTAAAAAAAAGAAATAAAAAAGAAAAAGTTTTTTATCAAAGTAAAAAAAAGTAAAAAAGAATTTAAAAAATTATTATTATTATTTTATTTAATTAAAAAATGGTTTATAAAAAAATAAATATAAATAAATTTTAAAAAATAATAAAAAAAAGTAAATTAATATTTCTTTTTTTTTTTTAAGTAGGTAAACATTATTTCTTTATTTAATTTGTATATGTTAGGGTATCACTAGTTCAAATTGGATTATTCGGCTACCGAATTACAGCCGATTAAATCCAAATTTATTAATAAAAGTTTATACCGAAGTTTTGTTGTTTGGTCCAATTTAT